CGTTCTGTTGCTTAAATGAGTCCAGATGCAGGGGTCAGTTATTGCGGTCTTAGTGCTTTTCTTTGAGTCTCTTGAGAAGATAAGCCGAAGGGGACAGGAACTGCTGAGACACTGAGCTGACCCTGTATGTAGTTTTACGACTGCAGATGGCTGGGGAGGAGAACCTTTAGTTTTTCCGGTGGAATGCAGAGATTCAATGTTCCTTTGTGTCTGCTCACAGATTCAATGGTTTCTGTTTTTGAAGACAGAAATCCTACAATATATGCATGTTTTATGAAATTGCAAGTGAAAACACCACATGAAAGCTAACTTTGAGTTTTTTGCTAAACTACATGTCGCCTGGTCAGTTTTATGTGTGTTATAAATTCATGAGGAATATCTTTAGATATAAGTGATGGATTATAGTGAGTTTAGGCTCTTATTAGTCAGGAGAATGAGCTCTAAATAATGGTGTGTAATTCCACGATCTGAGCATAGAAAAGTTGCAAAGCAATAAAGTGACATAAATGGCACATCCATATATTACTTTTGCCAAGGAACGGGGAGAAATTTTAAGCTAAGAGAAAAGGCGGCATTGACCTTGATGTTGACTGATGGCTGATGATGGATGATGTCATCAAACTTACTAACTAGACCCACAGTGATTGGCTGAGAGGTCTCTTGGTCTCTGTCAGTCATTTAATCATAGAACTAGTGTAGAACGAGGTAACATTCATCGACCTCAAATAAGGCATTCAAATTATCATTTGAAAATTAAAACATGTAAATTGTAGCAGCTTTACACTGCTGCTCACTCTAACATTATAACTAAGATGAATGTGTGCTGTTAGACACATGGAAGCTGTTAGCGCACAGATGCGCGAGCGCGATCGCTGGGATTTTTTCCTGATAACTATGGAAACAACCTAAAATCTGCCCTCATGTTTGCTTATACAGATAAGACTAATCATTTGAAACTGTAAAGGGTCTACTTTTTTTGAGGACACTCACTATATTAACAAAATGTTGTGTTTTTGTAAAATAAAGAAAACAATCGCTTTCTGGATGCACTTTCTGTTGTCTCGGTCTCCGTGAACTGGAGCATGGCACAAAAATTAAACTCAGTGTATAGCCTACTTGCCTTACAGACATGAGAAATATATCTACAGAAAGCCTGAAATGTGTACTTTGAAACAAAATTCAATAATTATGTAATCCGTATTAAAGGTGCATTTCTCTCTAAAGGCGTGTCACTGTACTGTGGAGACGGCTGGTCAGCATCGTGATTTTAGCATAAAAACGCTTTGAAAAATACTCGAAGTTAGGAGTCGTGAAATTGATTCCTAATTTTTTCTGTTATGTTTTTCTCAGTATCATCAGCAGGAAGAGAAAGAGAGCAGCTTCTCCACTACAGCCCCCTGATCTCAGTAATGAATCAATGCTCTTTGATCCTGTGTGAGTATATTCATGTAGAGAGAGACATTCAACACAAGAACAAATAATACAAACAGAAATAACAAAAGAGAAATTTACTTTTTTATTTTTGCAGTAAAGTTCTAAAGACAGAAAAAAACTAACAGAAATTGTTCTCTTTTTTTTTTAACAGCAAATATAAAAATAAAATGAAAATCATAATATAAATAAAGAAAACTGAAAAGAAAAAGTCAATAGGCTCTTTGTTAAATGAAGCTGCTTTGTTAAATAGTGCTCTCATGTGCTTCCCTTTCATGGGAACTTCGAACTGCGTCCTCTAGGGGTCGCTATGGGGGAACGCCTCGTCGTGACCCGTGTCTGAAGCATACATTGAAAAAACACCAACTCGTTGGCCGGCGACAGTCATGACGTCACTACCGGTGCGACTAGTATAAATAGGCGCCGGGAGCTACACATCATTCTCTTCTTCGTCTTCATTGACTGTTCTGTTTGAAGCATGCATTTCCAAGGAAAAAGTAAGAGCTATCTCTATTCATTATGGCGAGCACTAGCAGAGCATTTAGAAGGTGTGTGCATTCATGTCATCACTATTTGACACCAGATGACACACACGATCTATGTGTTGTTTGTTTGGGCGAAGAGCACGCACGCGATGCCTCCGAGGGGGCAATCGGCGTGCACTGCGAGCGTTTTTCCAAGGAAAAAGCTCCGTTCTCGTTTGTCTCTCTTTTCAAGTAAAGAGGGGCAGCCATCTGCTCCCCGCGATCCAGGACCCGCCGCTGCTGAGGCACGGAAGGGAATGAGCTCGTGGGGATCGCAGGTGGATCTGGCCAATGAGTTTGAAGAGGGGTTTCCCTTTCGCGAT